CCCCCCCCCCCCCCCCCCCTTTCTTTCTTTCCTGCAGCGACACGTCTTGTCAATATAGAGTGTATCCGAGATGTTTTTTGTTTTTGTTTTTGTTTTTGTCTTTGTCTTGTTTGCAGTTTTCGTTTGTCTGTGAATGTTAGCTCATAGAGAGGTCTGTGTGTGCCTTTGAGCTGTGACTGGCTGCATCGCCTGGAGGTGTGATGCTTGGGGGCATGTTCTGTCTGTCTGTCTGTCTGTCTGTTTGTTTGTCTGTCTGTCTGTCTGTCTGTCTGTCTGTCTGTCTGTCTGTCTGTCTGTTTGTTTGTTTGTTTGTTTGTTTGTCTGTCTGTCTACTTGTTTGTCTGTTTGTCTGTCTGTCTCTCCCCCCCTCTCTCTCTCTCTCACTCACACACACACACACACACACACACACACACACACACACACATGCGTGTTATTGAGAGCGTGTCTCGTGCGTGGTTGCTGTCGAATATAACAATATGATATCATGTCTACGTAGGGACTGGCGCTATTCCAACTTTTATCGTTGCGAAATGTTAAATAGTAAGTATATGTATTCTCCTGTCTTTCTGTCATAAGATAGAAATCTGCATAAATATACCATGGAAAACATTTCCGAAAGTGAATGTAATCAATGGTACGTAGGTGTGTTAACAGCGATAGATTCGCGTTGAATGCTCTTCGGGTAGATTACTTGATGTGTATTTGCTGCGACTCACTGTTCAGTTGTGTGGAAGAAAAATTACGCAGTGTTACGCTCGGTTTCCTATTTGCAATGTGTTTTTAAAAACTCTTACTTTATTTTAGGTAGAAAAGGATGTGAAAAACAGGATTTTTATTGACACTAGCTAGATGTGGCTGTTCATCTTGACTATCTACTTAAGTGGACAAGTGTTTTGATGTAGTTTGTGAACTCTGACTCGGAACTGATTTGTGCAAAAGGACAGTGTATTTATTCATCGATAGAGAGGATTTCTCTTTCACGAGTAACATAGACCTTTATGACTGTTGCCAGACCACGTTCAACTATGGCGTGTGTTATTTTGTGGCCTTAGCGCGTGATGTTTTGGAGACAATGATGTGTTGATAATTGTTGAAGTTCCGTGGAGTAAACCGTTCTACTGACACTAAGTGAGCTGTACTGCGCGTGAACTCACGATGGATGAGACGTGTTTTATGGACGACAAGGTGAACTCGAACCTGCCCCCAGCCCTCAACTCGTCTCTCTGCGGACCGGACGAGTGTGGCAACAGCATAGATTGCTGTTCTCAGCAACCACAGGGCTTGCCTCCTTCTTCTTCTCCTCCTCCTCTCGGGTCAAAGGTCAATCGTAATGACCTGAACTCACCACCGCCTTCTTCTTCTACTCTTCCTCCGACGTCTTCCCTGTCTTCTTCTTCTTTCTCCGCCCCCACCACGACGGACATGACCGCTAACAAGCCAGGATATTGCGGGAAGTGCGGAGGTCGGAGGTCAGAGTCACCCCCGGCTTTCATCTGTCCCTGGAGTAAGGCACGCTTCTGGCGACTCCCGCCCGGTGTTGACCAGTTGGCCACAGACAGACAGAACGAGGCGCCGCCGTCGTCAAAGACCCTCCTCCCACCACACGGCCGCCACCCCCCGTCAGAGTCCAACCAACTCCAGCAGCAGCACACAGCACAGTCTAGTCGAGCCTCGTCCCCCTCCTCCACCTCCACATCCAGAAGCGTCTCCCCGGACCCGAAGAAGCCTTCCTCGTCTGCTTCTCCTCCCTCCTCCCCCACCAGAACTCGAACGGTGGACCCCACCGCACATTCGACGGAGAAGGCTTTTTCGTCCACGTCCCCTGCTAAGACTTTGAGTACCCCCGCTGCCAAAGGGAGAAATGGCGCCCCGAAGACACAGCGGGAGAGATCCTTGGGGAGATCTGGAAAGACGTCCAGGGTGGTCGACTGCCTGTGTTCTCCAGACGCGTCCCCTCCGCTAGAACAGTCTGGCTCACGATCACCGGCCTATGCCAGGCGTGGACTCTCTGCGTCCTCATTGGCCACGGCTTCCAACGGGAACAGAACAAACGGGTTTTTCCCTCACTCTTCAACGGGCGAAGATTCCCCGTCAGTGGTCGTAACCCCACCGCCACGCTTTGTCTCGACGCCAGTGTCTTCATCGCCGTTTCGCCAACCATCGTCACTACCGCTTGTCCAGTCGTCTTTCGCCTCGGGTGAGATTTCCGTGTTCGATCGCAGCGAACGTGACGAACTGCGCTCTCCGTCTTTCATGGGGTTCGGACTTTCTGACCGAGCGTCGCCTTCACGACGAGGCGAGCGGCGTAACGACGCCGGTGATCTTGGTCGGTCAAGTTCTACGCCAAACCCTGGCGTCTCGTACCCGTCGCCGGGACTGCGTTCCGTGGATTCTTTCAGAGCAGACCTCTATCTGTTGGAGTGTTACAACGAACACGGGCAGCAGTGGTCGCGGCCGGCGGAGACCCGTGATCTGAGCTCTTCGCCGGCATCCACTTCTTTTCTCCCGAACAGTCCACCTAATCATCACCACGATCATCAAAATCCTCACCCTCATTCTGACCTTGATAAGACTGCCCCTACCTGTAGCCCTACATCCCAACCGTACCAACCAGTGGGAGACGACTTCTGGACCAATCACCACCAACAACAACGAAGCGCGTCTCAGATGAGCCGACACCACTCCCAAGGGAGACCAATCTTCACCGGGGACATCCACAGCCCGCGCTCCCACTCCGCCAGATGCTACTACTCCGAGACAGAAGACGCCGGCAGTGATGATGGCGAAGACCAGCTGGACGCCACGCTAGCGCAACAGCAGCGTCGACCACGAAGCAAATCCAATCGCGAGCAGAATCAGAAGAACAACCGACGCGGACGAGGGGCCATCAAACTACGGTACTCCCGCTTCGACACGGACTACTTCCCACCCTCTCTGGGAGCGAAAAGTCCTCGTGACGACAGCAGTTCCAGCCCTCTCGGACCGATCAGACCTCGCGACGGCCTCAGTGGCAAGCCACGACATGAACCCACCGCCTGGGACACGACGGAGGGGCGGATGGATGAGGACGAAGACGGAGACAACGACGACGAGCCGATGGATGATGATGATGATGATGCGGCATCGGCGGCGTTGTCAGCGCCCGGGTGTGCGTCAGGCGGCGGGGGAGCGGCGGAGCTGGAGGGCGTGCCGCCGGAGCTCCTGTGTGAGCTGCACGCGCTGGGACACGAGAACGAGGACCTGTCCGCGGATGTGGTCTACGCGCTGCACGCGCACAAGTTTGAGATCAAGGAGCTACTCGGGAAGTAAGTCGGCGGGTTTGGACCGGGATTTTAAAAAAAAATATTTTGTGGGATGTTGTTGTTTGTGATTGGTACACCACTCATATGGCTCTCTTCTTCCTCTCTCTCTCTCTCTCTCTCTCTCTCTCTCTCTCTCTCTCTCTCTCTCTCTCTCTCTCTCTCTCTA